GAGGTTGAGCCGGGAGCCAGGAGTGACAGCCACCATGCCCACACAAACAACACAGACAGGGGTAAACAAACAAACACAAAGGAGACGGCTGGAGCAGTACAGCCACCACAGCGTTACCTAATGCAACTCCACACTACGTCTTACGGTGCCGTGTACCGGAGGGGAGAGAGAGAGAGCAGCGAAGGGGGGGGGAGAGAGAGAAGTAATACGGTTTCCTAATAAAGCTGTGGAGAGTATATGCTGCAGGGAGGTGGATGCACAACGCACCCAGGAACGAACGCTAGCTCCGGTCCTTTTTACTGTGGACTCGATGCCCTGACAGGCTTGAGTTTGTGCAACCTGCACAAACACAAGCTCACCATGATTACAAATGGTGAAATGCAATGTAAAATTACCGAAAAAATACCAGCTCACTAAATCACAACCGCTCAAACCAACTACAAACTACTACCGCGGATTGGGCAGAGAACGAGTCCGAGAAAGTTAATTCCCCATGTGACGTAATATGACGCGTTTGACGTATGACGTTAAAAAAAAGCAGTTTTCAGTAGCAGAGCTCAAAACGGCTCCTTTTCCTCTGAATTCCTGCCCTTATGTCTTGTAAAACATATCAAATCCTGCATTAACATTTTTAATTGGTTAAGGTTAAGCATGAATGTAGTAACGCAGTCAATTCAGAACATGTGACACGTTGTAAATCCAGTAGAACAGACCGCTGCCAAGGACTGTAATGACCGTTGCTAAGGAGGATCAAGAGAGAGAAAAGAGGTTCAAATAAAAAATAAATCTTAATAATGAAAATGTTTCCACACAAATCATGTTTTGCTAATTATTTGGCGGCAAATGTTGAATTTACATTTACACCCTTTAATATTTGATTTGGGCTTTTAGTTGAAGACCGCACGCAGTTAATAAATACAACTATTCCTCTGGCTAAAATACATATTTTTAAATGTCAATCAAGGAGTAATCTTAATATAAGGAGTTTGAAGTTTAGATAAAAAAAATACCATTTATTTTGGAAAAGATATTGCTTCAAAAAATCAAAGCCTCATCATCACACCATGAAATGGGAAATAATTAACTCTAACGAAGAGTGACATTAAATGTACAATAAAAATGCTTGCCATATTGTGTTTTTGGTGGTGTTTGGTTGTCAACCTATATTAGTTTGTGAAATGTTGAAGTGATCCTACTGACTGTATCTTTGTTTCTTCTGTTTTTGTCTGAGATGGGAATGTCATCTCCAATATGTTATTGTAATGTCCACGTTTGTGTCTTTAGCCTGTACAAAATAATAATAATAAAAAAAAAAAAAATTATTTGGCGGCCCTCTTGCAATGCCTTGGTGGACCACTAGGGGGCCGCGGCCCACAGGTTGAGAGCCGCTGGTCTAAGGGATCAATGAAAATATTTTTTGAAGTGGATATTTTTGCCAAATTGTGTCAGATAACATTTAAGTGAATCGCCAATTTATCAAATGAATGATCCGGGGAACACAATTTACCATGTTTCAGCTAATACCATAGAATATTGCCAGTAGTTGCTGAGTCATCGTGCACTACTAAACGTTTGTATATCTGCAAAACACAGCACAGGAAGGAAAGATGGTGACCATACCATTACTTTTATTGTAGATATACTGGGCTACAATTATATATAAAAAAGAAAAGTCCAAACAAACACAATTAAAGGTCTTCATGATCCATAAGGTGCAGACCGCAAACACTGCAGCACAGTTACAGTATGAGTGAGGAGTCCTGTTTATGTCCCTTACACTGCAGCTCCGACCGCTTAGCCCCCACTGCTGGTGTTCTGCTGCTCCGTGACCCCCCCCCTCCCAAAGAAGACAGGGGATCTATGCTGGCTTCCATCTCCTCTCCCACACTCCCATTGTTGATCAGGCATTTCTGTTCTCTGCTAATACTGATCATGAGCGATCATTAACAGGAAAAATCCACCCAAAGCTCTTCTGTTGGAACACATGCTGCCTATCAGGGATCAACTTCCTGTTAGCTGATGCATTTCCTGTCAATACCTGGCTAAATGTATCACATCACATTCAGATACAGCAGCTTTAAAAAGTGACCTTTCAGGACTTTTGATTCACAGTGGATGTAATTATGATTAAGAAATATCCTTAAACTAAATGAGGAACTAATCTTTAAACAGATAGTTTCCCTTATTCAGGACAGCCGTATTGAGTTCCATCATTCTGCAGCACGGCCCCACACATCAGTCCCTGCTCAGCTCAGATGTGTGGTGATTTTGTAGGTCTTCTACTGTAGACACAAGGCAGAAAAGCATTCCTTCATATAACCATCTTTGATTTTCTATGATTTGTATGAGCTTCCAACAGAAGGGTTTCTTATAATTTTGCACCAGTACGACGGCATTTCCTTGTCTGATAAGCAGCTAAGGAAACTGACACCAGCTGGGATAAAGTACAATTATCGGTAAAACTTTGAGGTACTTGTACTTTAGTATTTCCATTGACTGCTATTATTTTACAGCTAGTCCTTTTCATTTGAGGGATGCAGTGAACTTCCTGTTGCACTACATTTATCAGAGCTGCACAACAGATTTATGATGTTATGTATTAAATACAATGTACTATATTGTATGTGACTCCTTACAGGAACACAGTGTCAGATTCTGGAGCCTTGTCATGTTTCTGAGATATTTGCACTTAAACATAACAGATTGCAAATTTAGAATTTGAACAATTGGACATTTGTTTCGTTTCGAAAAGTAAAAGCTCCAGTACAAAGGAATTCACAAAGTGGTGCATGTGAAGTCATCCTGGCTCAGGATTCATCACAAGTACAGAAGCACCTTAGGGTGGATTTTTCCTTTGAGTTTCTGATAAAGGGGAAGGTCAGTCAACCTCACACACCACAGAAGAAGAAACAAGGGAGAATCCAGAAGTGAATTGAACCAAGATCCCATTCAGGATTGGACGTGCCAGTCCGACTCACCAAACAGCTGTTTGAGGCAGGATACAGGAAGTATACACGTTTAGAGATTCTTCTAACAGTGTGTTTGTCACATGATGCCCCGCAGCACATTTGGAGCCCCCCAGCCCCTTGCTGTCTCTTTAAATAGCTCTGAGCTAAACCAGCATCCACACAGCAGCCAAGCCTGAACCAGTTAGTCCTCCCAACAACATATATACACGTCTTCGCCTTCCTCTACCTTTCACTCTGACATGAGGTAAAGTATGGCGCCCAAGTGCAATGCTCAATTGTGCTACATATACAAAAAAAAGAAAAAATTGCCATTGCGAGAAAACGTAGTCCGTTCTGACTATCGCACTGCTCCCTCCTGAATAGAAACATGATGCTGGATATTGGTGCCAAGATGAATTATGATCCTAGTTTCTATCAGTCACAGACATAAAATAGAGCGGCTGTGGCACCAGATGACGGATTTCACATTATATTTAGTACCTCCCCCCCCCCATCTGGGACCTACACAATAGTTAGTTGAACCCATGTAGAACTGTACCAATCTGACTTTAGCTCTTTATACATGGGTTGCCCAGAGAGATAATGACAGACTGCACTCTTTAACTTGAAATGTCATAACGCTTCATAGGGTCACATGGATTTAAATATAGCAACTGAAGGATTTCACCAATCAGAGAATCTCTAGGTCTTCAATATCTGGTTAAAATATATACTTTCACGTTTTGTTCGGCAGGATGATCTCCACATATTAACACCATTTTATGATTTTTGAAACATTAATTCAATAGTCAGAATTAAAAGCAGTCATTAGCTTATAAAGCTAAGATTATATAAAAAGCTAACGTTAGCTTGTAAGCTAACTACATCTCAGTCACATGGCTACATCTCAGTCACATGGCCACCGCTAAGCTAAATGCGGCTAATGTTCATTGTGATGGCGTTTAGTAGTCTCATTTAGAAACCTGTTAGCAACCACAGTTTTTATGACTCATGGAAGCGTCAGACATTCACCTGGTGTATTTACGGACATATAATGTCGTAAAACAATACCTGTAAAAGTATTTCGCTTGTGTTAACCGAAGACCTTATTTCAGACATCTAACCAAAACACGCTCACATTTATTTTGAGACGAGCTATAAGGAAGTGCTTAAATGCCGTTTTAGGACTCATTCACGCACCGCTCTTTTACTCAGTTAAGCAACCATACAGGCACGTGTCTCTTCGAACCCTTTTTTATGGACAAATAAAAGTTTACCTTCTGCCTATATATACATACAAATGTTTAAGAGTGCAATCAGATTACCTCTACAGGTTTTTACCCATTTGTCAATCCTGATTGTTTTTACCCAGAATTCAAATGCAGACTTTCAGCCAATTCAATTAAAAGCTAGTGAAGGAGGGGAAATCTAATAATCCACACGCCAACCAAATTAAACAGATTTCCAAAATAATGAAAAGGTCAAACAAAGAGGTATTATAGTTACAGTGCAAAAAAAGATGAGAAATTCAAGCTTAATACAAAAACATAGCACCAAACAAAAAGAAAAGAAAAATATATAAAGAAAAGAAAATGCATGCAATTAACTGAGGTATTCAAGTGAAAAAAGGGCTTATTGATTTGGGGGGACCGGACATTTAGCGAGAAGCAAAATGTGTCAGAACAGAAAACACAAAAAAATAAAAAGGCTGGTGTCTTCTCCGCAGGAATCGCCTTTAACCTCATCGTGTCACATCTGTTAGAGCTTTGGTAAGTACGGGATGTGAGCAACACGTGTGTGTTGAAATGAGTTGGCCTTTTTCACAAAGACTGTATTTGAAAAGATTTTGAGCCTACACAAGTATCCAATATAGAAAAGTCTGCAGCATATTGAACGTGTGATACGTCTTTCTCTTCGTATATCAAAACTGGATGATCCTTGGCAAGACGTTAAGTGCGCAAGAATGTTCCATTCCTTCCATTCTTGGTATCAAAACACGTTAAACCAAATCATCAAGATAATGCCGTTTACATCGAGTGTTGCGCTCACACACTCTAGATACATCCGTAGATCTAGAACATTTATAGACGCAATCCAGTTGTCATGGTTTATACATAAACTACAAGAACATGCAACCTCAAGTGCGCTTTATAAACTACTTTAAATTACAGTAACTGGGAATGTTGGAATTCCTATCCGTCTTGCAGGATATGAGGGTGAATCTTAGCAACTAAGCCTAAGAATACCAATCATGTATCTTATTATTTTTATATATATTTATAGACTTTGCTACGTATATGATTCTGGTGTCAATGTGACCACACGATTCTTGAAGTAACAGACCCTAATGGAATAAGTGCAAAAATGATTAAGAACGTTTTGCTCCAGTGGTTTCTGTTAGCCACGTCCGCCGCTGTCAAACTGACTGGCACTAGTGCACAGGCTGAGGAGTTTAGCGTTTTTTCTTCTTCCTACATACTTTGATTGAACTATGTACAATCTAATACTACACAATAAGCATAAATGCCATACCATTGGCAGAGAGGTTAACTAAACGGTGAGGAACAGACGATGCGACCTGACCTTCTTTTAAACACACTGCTAAACGTTAATAAAGCACTGAGAGAGGGAAAGCAAAGATTGTGTAGGCGCAAAAAGGAAAGAAAAAAGAAAAAAAAAAGATCTGATGAAATGGTAATGAGATCAGTCTGCTTCTTCATCTGCGTCTCCACAGTGTTCCCCGGCTGCCTCAGCTGAAGATGCAGGACTTGCATGGCGCTCTGTTGGAAGCCGGTGTTGATTTTCCTCCGTTAGCGTCAGTAGCTTAGGTGCTAATGCTGGGAGCTCGGAGGGTGAGCTCAGTTTTTCTGGACCTGAGGTTGATTGGCTTTGAGGCTGCGCAGAGCTCGTCTCGCCGCCGCAGACTTGGCGATGCGGTAGCTGCGGCCCACTCCTTTGAACTTGCCCTTCCCCACGACCTCCACGGTCACCCGCACCTTCCCATCGTACGTCCTCTCCGCAGGGCTGCACAGAGCAAGAGGGGGGTCAGAACCTGGCTAATGGTGGCCTAAATCTCACACAGCCGGGTAATAAAGATACTACTCTCATTCTTATTCCTCTGTTCCCTGAATGATGCACACTCAGTATGAGATGTATTTCCACAGAACTTCCTCCATCAATAGTTGAACCTTTATCCATGTCTAAACCCCTTTTTCTCAGCTTTTTATTTGCAGGGAAATGCTGAGTTTTATCAACGATATCTTAACAATGATTTATACCAATTTCAGTGTTAATCAATGATTCTGGGTACCAAATTGGAGAACATTGTTAAAAATGATATACACCAATAAACCCCATGTAGTTAATTTTTAAATGGATTTCTGACCGATTTTAACTAGTTCTCTTCTAGGCAAATCATTTTACATTTGGCAGAAAATCTGGTATCATCCTAAAAATTTCTGCATTTTTTATGCCATGGGGAATGCTCATCAGACAGTCCCGTCATAATTATCGAAGCAAAATAGCTGATAGTAGTCAATTCTGATTTACAACTTGACACGCAGTGCTAAAACGCATCATCACCATTTGTATTTAGGTAACTGTTGACTTTTTATCTACGCCTTAACATCCCTGTCCCACACCTGACACCTTTAAAAAGAAGGGGGTTAAAGCAGGTGACAGCTTTTCTGGATACATTTCCTAAAATAGGCTATAAAATGAATAATATAACATGACTTCTTGCTCAAACGGGATGAACTCAGCTATGATTAAGCGGTCCTCTCATCTGTGCATTGGGTTAGGGTTAGGGTTAGGGGAAAAGAGAACATCTTCATATTCCTGTGAGAAATGTTTTACTCTCACCTGAACTTGGCAGTTTCTGGCTCCATCTCCAGCAGCTCCCTGACAGGAGATCGTGGCACGTTGGCAGAGAATTTCTCTGGAAGAGGCGGGGCATGGAGAGCGAGGCATCAGAATCATCCTCACACTGATAACTACAATTAGCTTAAAATAGAAACAAAAGACGCTTCCACTCCACCTCACCTATGAGTGGCCTCATCATTGGATAATACACCTGCCACACGGTCTCCAGAGACATCCTGCTGTCCATGTAGATGGCTCCGGCCAGCGACTCAAAGATGTCCCCCATGGCCTTCGGGACCTCAATGTCCTCCTCCTTCTCCTCGTCCTCTTCTGAGCGCCGCAGCTGAAAGAACACACAGTCGTTAGCTGACCAGATCATAACACACACACACACACACAAAATGTATCAGTAGAGCTCGCTAACAAACTAGGACTGCACAATTGGGAAAAATTAACTAATTTCTATTTTCTTGACTGATTGCAATATGATGCAGATATTTACCAAACAAAGATGTTTTATTACGTCTGTAAATGACTATGACTTCTCGTCAGCAGCACAATAAAATACAAATAATGATACTTTCACTTTTTACCAAATATTGGGCCTACTGTGATATGGGATAGCCCAGACAGCTGTATTTACCATGGCCTATCTAGATAGAATCAAATCATTTTGAAATAGACATAATCAATTACACTTTATCACAGGGGTATCTCCTCTTGCACTTGATGTAGCACTTTTATCTTCTCTTGCACTTTATAAGTCGTAGCTGCTATATTGTACTGCCAACTAACTAACTAACTAACTACTGGTAAATACTTGTATATGCTGCTCTTGCTCTTTTGCACTTTTCACATATCATATATTTTCTTTTTGCTATGTTTGTAAAATGTAATTTTCTTAAATGTTTTATTTGAGGGACGATGGAAATGAGCTCAAAGCTAAATCTGGCACTGTTACGCTTGACACATTTGAATGTCTTAAGTGTTCATTACTGTGCATTGTCCCTGCCAAATAAACGATTAAATGAAAAATGAATGAATTGGCTAATTAAATACATTCATTTCTCATATACATACAGTGTCAAATGTGGTACATTAGCTAGCTAGCAAGTTAGCTAATGGGGAATGCTACTTGAAATGTGGAGCCAACAACAGGCTGTTGCAAACTTAAGGATAAACTAGGACGCTCAATCAAGCGTCACACATACGGTAATGGCTGGCTCAGAAAAACTAGCAGAAGAAGGTAAATATAACTGTATGTAATAAATGTATGTGTATTTTCAATACAAAATAAGTTAACAATCAAAAAGTGTTGAAATTGTGCAAAGATTCCAAAACTCCCAAACGTATCTTGATTTGGAAATGATCAAACAACCCTAAACGTGTTTGAAATATATGAACGGAAGTCAACACAATATTTCATGCTGTTCTTGAAAAAGCAGAAAATAAGAACCTGTAGAGAATGATCTGCAGTGGGTCACTACATGGAACAGTTTCAAGCAGGCTAGTGAGTGCAGCACATTCTTCCTGCTGTACTTCCTGTATGTTTGTGTAACATGTGCCTGCTGTCCCTAAGGCATAAAGTCCCTCAGCAGAAGAATGGGAGGAGATCTGGTGCTAAGATAGCCCTTTCCAGACAAATTCAATCCAACTGCATTTTCTCTTAGTGCTGAAATCATGGGAATATGAAACAGCCTTGTTATTCAGGAGGATCTTTTGGAATACAGACGCTTATTGAAATGGGAAAACACTACAGCATCAATTACACATGAAAGAGTAGGCTTAACACTTGATGTTTTGCTAAAGCTTATAGTTAGGGCTGGTTCAAGGTTTAGTTATGCAGCGGGAGGCTTAGGCTGTTTGGTGACTCAACACACTGTAAATGAAACAAAAGTGATATTGTGCTATATGAACATACTTTGATTGACTGATAGGTTTTATTGTTCAGTACTGCTGCTCGCTGTGTTTCGGTCTACTCACCTCAGAGTCCATGCCTTGCATCTCGTTCTTCTCCAGCTGGAACTGCACGAAGTCGTCGATGACGTGGAAAAGCTCGGGCGAGATGGCCTTGAAGTACTTGTGGTAGTCGTACTTGACGGCCAGAGAGGCAAAGATGGTGTTGTTGACGAGTGCTGAGCGCAGGTCGGTCAGCACGCCCGGGGAGTGCTGCCGGGGGTCTTCATAAAGGTGCTTTGTAATGAGGTAGTCTAAAATTGCATCGCCGAGGAACTCCAGTCGCTGGTAACAATCTGAAGAGGAAGAAAAGACGTCAGACATGATAATGTTAGTGTTTTCATTTCTCTAAAAGAGATGCTTATGATTGTAAGAGGTTGTTTCTATCTGTATAGAACACGGTCAATTCAGCCTAAGCAAATAACCCAGTCAATTAAATTTTTCTTTTATGTTCATGAGTTTTCACCATGAACATTCCTGGAATTTTGGAACCCTAGGTTTGTTGACCATTTCCAGTAATCCAAAGTTTTTTCATTTAGTTCGGTTCCACCGGTCAATTTAGTCTGTGTAAATGCAATATATATTTGAACTAGCTTGGACTTTAATTTGGAAATGTCCAATGAAAAAACTATTTTGAATGTTAGCCATGTTGCATTTAATCTAAATAAACATTCAGATCTCAGTGTCTCAACATCTATTGCAGCACTGTTATTATCAATTATAAATAACTCATATTTTATCAACTTATACTTCTAATTCTTGAACATGGTTCTTTCTGGTTCTAACACTACAGTGAACATGG